TCGCGTGCGTGCCCACGACCACGCGGGCAGACTTCTGCCGCACCTTTTCCGCGCGGCGGATATCCCCGTGAGTCGCGATCCCAGCCCACGTGCGCCCATGCCCGACCAAGCCGCGACCCATGCTTCATGCACCGCTACCGAGCCACCTTGAGTAGCCACCGAGCCACATCGAGCCACCGGCCGAATCACCGAGCCCCGGCGCACCCGGCGACCGCCGGCGATACTTTCCGGCCGCCGGCAACATTTCCCAGCGACCGGCGACTTTTCTGGTCAAATTTTCCCGCGAACCTCCCGGGCCCCGTTTTCCGGCCGCCGTCGACATTTTCCGACCGAAAACGGCATTTTTGACCTCCCGGGACTGTTTCAAGCCATTGGAGCCACCGGAAACCTTATTTTGCGGCGATTCCACTTCCTTCACTCGTTTTTCATGGATTTTTCACTCTCTTGGAGCTTGGACACGACTCATTGCCGATTTTTCTTACTCTTGGCGCCGAGATCACCATTTTACAAGGTACTTCACTTAGACCTACTCGTGCCATATGTATTTGAATTGGGCGTGACTTTATTGAGGTAGAGGTGATATATACTAAGTGTGGGGGAGGTGTACCGGGGGTTCGTGAGCTTATGTTGATAATTTGAGAGTTTTGGTGATTGGCTTTCGGTGTTGAGGGTCGTGTGGAGATTTTGTTGATTATTTGGGAAATGTGGTGTTCGTGGCGAGTAGCTTTGAATTCTTATTATGTTATTGGGAGTGCGGTTGTGTTTGTGGTTGTACATTGATTAAAGAAGGGGTGCGAGGGCCGGTTTTTGAGCTTTCACGCATACGTGTGTCTTCGTCGAGTTTTTGGGTTCCCGGTAATTATCCCTCCAAGACACATATATATGGCCTTTACTTGGAGCCGACGGACGAGATTCTCTTATGATTTCACATGTCATATTCCCGGTTGGCTTATTGACCGATATGCTTTCATTGTACAATCGTTCGGATGACTTTCTTTTACACTCGACGACCTTCGGATCATTTCTCGTTATTCCCACCGGACGAACACCATTAGACACACGGTGGAACACCACCGTGTAGAGTATGCATTTTCTTTTCCTATTTTCTTTTTCTCTTAGTTGCTCTTCTGTGTCTTCGTGTTTTCTTTATTTTGTATTTTCGTTTCTTATGTTTCGTTTTGTGTATCGCATGAGCTTACATGACTACGTGCTTTCCCCTATGCTTTTTGGTCAAGCAATGAGGACATTGCTTTGTTTTAAGTGTGGGGGAGGGATTTAGTGATTATGCATGATTAGGCGATATTTCTTTCATTTTTGGTGCTTTATTTTTCGTGTCTTGGACCGGTTTTTGTTTGTGTTTTTATGTGTTTGTGTCGATTCCCCCTTCATGATGCTTGATGTGCGTTTAAGGGCCTTTCGTGCTTTATGAACTTGATGATTTGGATGGTACCATTGAATTGGATGATAGTTTGTTAAATGTGGGACCCGCATGTGAATCCACGGAATTGTTTTGTCCCTTGTGGTTCTCGATTGATTGACTTGATATAAGTTACCTTATGCTCGATATCAGTGTAAACGTGTTATGCTATTTATTTGTAGTACATCTTGATCGATTGTGCGATTATGTGATTACATTGATGATGTACGTTTGTGCCACTCCCTTTGAAAAAAAAAAAAAGAATAAAAGGTGAGTTCGCGAGGAGGTACGGACTAGGCTCCTCTTATCCTTATTCACTTCGTGAAATGGGATAATGAGCCCGGGAAACCGGTTTAGGGAACTCGAGTTGACTAATCGAGGGTAAACCTAGATAAGCATTGTCTAGGAAACCTCGTTCGGAAAAAGAAGCTCACGAGAAAAAAAAAAGAAGAAAAATAAAAGAAAAAAGAGGAAGAAGAAAATCAAAAGCAAACAAATTAAGAAAGGGAGTTGGATTATTCGGTCTCGTTTATCATATTTTACATCTTGAGTAGACCATATATAGCTTTTTGCACGTGTTTGTAGACAAAGGGGGCTTTGATCGAGAAAATCATGTGTAGGATGACTAGGGACGAGTTTTTGTTTTGTATGGATTCATCTCGTGGGGAACATGTTTTCGAATTTGAGTTCGATTCTTTGGTTTACCGGATGATAAGGAGAGTCTCATATTCGCACAATTGTTAACCTTGGACCATTCGATGTTTCTTTTCGAGCTATTTTTTATTTTGTTTGCTTGAGGACAAGCAAAAAGCTAAGTGTGGGGGAGTTGTTTATTGTGTTTTTGTGCTTATTTTCGTGTGTTTTATGTGCTTTAGTTTAGCCTTTTTAGGTTCATTTTAGTGTCGTCCGGTCCATTTTATCGTGTTTTGTGCATTTTTGTTCTCGTATTGTGTTTTTGTGGTTCGGCGTACTTTTCTTGTCTTTTTGGTGTTGTGCAGGTCCACAATAGTTGAGCTTGGGAAGACGAGCTGACCGAGCCGTCCGAGCCGACCCGACCAACCCAAACGAGCCAACCGAACCACCTGGGCCGTCCCGAACCATGACCAGGTCCAGACCCACGCACCAACCCGCGCCTGCGCCAGCGCCCTGCTAGTGCCCGCGCCCTGCGCCCTTCGCCGCGACCTCGCGAGTCCCTCCCAGCGCGCCCCGCGCGCGTGAATCCTTGCGCTAGATCGAGAGTGCCGCAGCCACAGCCCGTCCGCACGCGCGGAAACTCTTGCCAGGTCGAGAGTGTTCCATTTCCTCCGTGCCACTTCCTGCCGNTCTATTTTTCCGGCGAGTTTATTTTATTCAAGTTTTGAGCTTTATTCACTATTTTCGTTCAAGCATGCGATAGAAGAGTAGGTACCTAGCTTAGGCCCTTCTACTTCGAGTTTGATTGTCGAATTGTGTGTATGCTCGTTTCTAGGTTTTTGTTTTATTTTTATCGCTTGCTTACGTGTGTTAGGAATCTATATGTGCTTATCTTGTGTAGAGATCTCGACTTTGCTTAAAGCGTGATGATCTAGTGTAGAAAGCTCGTGTTAGATTACCTAGGATCACTATCTCGTATGTTTTCTCTTTGTTTATTTTGTTTTTCTTGAGTCGTGGAGATTTCGGTAGACCAAAGTTTCGATTTTTCTCTCTAGATTTGCATTTTTCATCATTTGCTTTAGATTCTTAGTTTAATTGCGTGCAAATCACCCACAATCAAGCGAGTAGAATGTTTAGGACCTTCTTTTTGGTTATGTGACTTTGACGACTAGGTAGTAAACGAAGCTCCGAACAGCCTTCCTTTGAGAACGACCCGAGTCGGGTAGCTCGGTTACCACATGCCCAAAAAAAAAAAACTACAAACACATAGTAAGAATGTGATGAACGAGCACTAGCTACGGTGAAATAATAATAAATTAATTAATTCTTGATTATCAGTAATCGAATTAATTAATTGACATTATATTCGAGTAATTCGAGTAATTATAATTGGAGTCTCAAATGTAATTTGGGCTAGGAAAGAGAGTTCAATAATGTTTATGCTGATGGCCCATAATATTATTTAATTAATTAGAGGAGTGGGTTTGGCCCACAGTTAGTCTAATTTATTAAGGAGCTATATCCCTAATCTCCTAAAGGTCCCTACTGTAGCTCTATATATACATCATTAAGCTCATGAGAGAGAACCAATCTGTTCATCATTCACGAGACACACTCACCTCTCTCATCTCTCTCTCAGTTCTCATTCGAGCTTTATCTTCTTCTTGTTGCTCCACTGGCACAAGTCGAAGAAGATGTTTTGAGTAATACAGTAGAAGATCCATAGGTGATCGAGACCCAATAATCTTCTACAGCAATCGACGATCCACGATCCGAAGGCCGAGGACAGCCGAACGCCGACATGACCCGCCGATCGCCGCCAGCCACCGCAGATCGCGAAACGAATCGACAAGTCCGCGACATGACCCGGCGAGGATATCGACGCGACCCGACAAGCCACATGAACCGATCGCGCGACCCTGCTTCTGTTCGTGTAATCTACCTGTTCGTGTGTTCATCCCGGTCATCTCGAATTCATCTTTAAGCCGTAAGTTTTCTACATCAAACCTTTAGATCCGCTGCGCATAGTTTTACGTTTGCTATTGAATTCGTGATTTTTGCATAACGAGATCCTCACAGATCCCAACAGCGCGAGCCCTGGCCAGCCCTGACACCAACCCCAGCTGCAGCTAGCACGCGCCCTGCATGAGCTAACCCACAGCCACTTGGGTTCAACCGAACCCAAGTTTATTTTCTCAAGCCGTTTTGACCAATTTTCGAACCGTTGACCTTGTTTTTGTGTCGAACCCATTTCTGACCTTATTAAATTATTTTTCTACGCATTTCCTAAAAAATCGAGAGTTCCAAATTTCCGCGAGCTACTTAATCGATAATTTTCGACTAAGTATGAATTTCTGTTGAAATTTTCAATTTATCGAGATAAATATTCTGAGATATTATCTTGATTAAATGTAGGTGTTTGAGGAGTCGAGCTCTCTGCCTACCTTCGGCTAATCCTTGTGTTGTTGCCTATCTTGGCTGATCAGGTTGGTGTTGATAAACCTTACCATGTTTGTTATTCATTATAATTGCTTGGCTTGATAATCAATGTATGCATGTGAACCATTAGTCAGCGATAGTGTATCTCCGTTGATGTTCTGTTGTCGACGTTCTCCTATTTGTGCCTAATGAGAGTGTATCTTCTATTGATGTTGTTGCCGACGGTTTAACTCCCATTGATGGTTGTTCTGAGGGTTTAGATGTGTACACATGAGCGTATATGTTAAATTTAAATTGAATATGTATCATGTATATGTTAAATTTAAATATAAAAAATATTTATTTCGTATTAACTAAATATACATCATCAATGAACTAAATATACATCATCAATGAATTAAATATGCAACATTATATATTTAATTTAAATATAACAAATATGCACTATGGATGGACTAAATATGCATTTCGTATGAACTAAATATGCATCATGAATTAACTAAATATGCATCATAAATTAACTATATATATTTAATTTAAATATAATAAATATGCACTATGGATGAACTAAATAGGTATCATGAATTAACTAAATACGCATCATTATATATTTGATTTAAATATAGCAAATATGTATTTCGTATTAACTAATATGCATCATCAATGAACTAAATATGCATCCTGAATGAACATTTTTTTTGTCGAAATAATAGGGATATTATATAAACGCACAACTGTGTAAACAAAGAAAGATACAAACCAATAGCTAAATGAAACAGCTAAAGCCGAAGAAACTGGGAGGACAGATCCAAGGATCGCCTAGAGCTAGCAACGCTGAAAACACACCCACAACACAAGAAAAAACTACTACGCTCCAAAATAGGAGACTAATCGATCCCACCGGGATAATACAGAGGTCCCAACTGGGAGAAGAAACATATAAAAAAGAAAACCCAACCCAAAAGCACAGCACTTAGCACAACAAATACAAAGAAGCACACCTAAACACAAACACAAGCAACCTTAAATAAACTAAAACTACACTAGCCCTTCCTCCATCGGAAAGCACCAAGAGTACGCCGATGACCCCATATTCGACCACCTAAACGGACCAGACCACGCTACGGGAAGACACTCCAGAAATTGCTTAACGCCTAACTATACCCTCCCCCAAAACACAACTCCGAGCCCAGACCACCAAGAGTAAATAGGCCCCAAGGGATAAAAACCATCGAACACCACCCCAACCCCGCGACACGAGACCACGGCCGCAGCTTCCCCTTGCAAGCACCCAACACCACCCCGGTGACGCACGTAGACCGAAGACTCCACCCCGGACAGCGACGAAACCAGGCGAGATCACCAGGCAGTCCTTCTCCTCCCGTCTCGCAGCGGCGAGCATCAACACAATTCAAGAGGGGAAGCCGCAACAGCTGGAGCCATCCACCGGCGCGACTTCCGTCACCCAACGGAAGAAGGCGCACCTACTAATTGAAGGAAAACCAGCCGCAGAGGGATCCGATTTTTCGATGGGCGAAAAAGGGATCTGAGGAAGATGAGGGGAGACAATCTTTTTAACCCAACTTTAAGTAATACATTACAAATGTACTATATGTTTCATCATGAATGAACTAAATATGCATCATTATATATTTAATTTGAATATAACAAATATGCACTATGGATGATTTAAATATTCATTTCGTATGAATTAAATATGCATCATGCATGACTTATTATGCATTATAATATAAATATGAATTTCTTATTCTCAATTAAGTATGTATTGTTTATAGCTAAAATATGCATTATTCTCTCGTTGAGAGCGAAATATTCTCTCGTTGAGAGTGATTCTATTCTTCGATAAATCTTCTTGTTTGATTCATTTTCAGTTCTTGTTAATCCTAGTCCGTTATATGGTTGTTGATTATTAAGGTTGTTGGTATTATCCTGTTTCTATCTCCCCTTATTCGTAACCCAGCTGTTGATCTAGGGTTGATGGAAGAATCAGGGAAGTTGGGAAAGATGATGATCTTGCTAAAAAACTCAATAGTATTTCCCTATCTGATAAGGAATCCACGCTAATCGTTTTAGAGACGAGGGATATCCGTTTAAGCACAGATGATGTCAAAGGAGCTTGTTTGGAAAAATTGTGGGGGACAAGAAAGCTCATTGGATTGGTGTTCAACGCACGATGTCTCATATTTGGAAATTGAAGCAGACCATGGAGGTAAAAGATTTAGGACCAAATTTTTTCCAGTTCATTTTTCAGAACCGAGATGATTTAAAGAAGGTGGCCAGCGGCACCAATTGGATTTTCTAAAATCAGTACTTAATCCTCAGAGAATGGGAACATAACATTTCCAGAAACCACCCTGGTTTTCATCAGCTAAAGCTCTGGGTCCAAGCTCTGAACATTCCTTTATATTGGTTAAGCACGGACGTTGGACTTAAAGTGGGCAAAATATTCAAGGAAGTCAACAATGTAGTGCTCGTTAGTTCAGGCAATCATGGAGGGAGAATCCTAAGGTTGCTGGTGACCATTGACCTCAAGGAAGCTTTACCTAGATGTGCATCTATCAGACTGGATAACCAATTTGTTAAGGTCAGCTTCCAATACAAAAAACTGGTCAATTTATGTCATTATTGTGGATTTATAGGGCATTTAGACAGAGATTGCTCGAAAAGGCTAGAGGATATTCGGAATAAATCAGTGGGGAAAGGTCAATTCGGGGATTGGATGAAGGCGGCCGAAGGATCAAATTGGGTGGAAATCAATATGCTGGTTCCAACTTCTCTCCAATGTCTGGGAGATCTTCTTTTCCTGAGAATGACATGACAAATCATAATTCTCCTAGTAGTCTTATGGCTAGGAACCAAGTTGTCCCTTTTTCAACAGATCCTATCACTGAGAATAGAACTGACACAGTGGCTTCCAACTCTTTGAAGGAGGACTCTCCTTTACATCCTTTAAATTCTCCAAGCAATCCAGGTCCAGATGGAAAGACATCACTTACTGCAGTTACATGCTATGAGGGAGTTCAGAAAGATATGGGGGTTGAGTTTAATAATCATATCGAAGGCGATCCCATCTCAACAGAACCAATGCAAGTCATGAGGGGAATCAATATTGGAACTTCCAAAACATGGAGGAGAACCAGCTCTAAATCAGGCAGGCTTCAGAGACAACAATCTTCTGAGGAAAAAGCTATTTGTCTATTGGGTGGAAAGAGAACTAGAATTAATTCACCAGAATCTGATCAAAAAGAAGAGGAACAACTTATTGGGAGATCAAATAATAAGAAATTGAAGCAGGCTTAGGGAAAGGTGGGGGTGGCCAGCCTAGATTGGCACCCAAGTGATCAATGCTAGCTGTGGTGTGGAACTGTAGAGGGCTAAGTGAGCCCTCTACAGTTTCCCAAATCAGAGAGACTTTAAAGTCTCACCACCCACTTTTTGTTTTCATTTCAGAAACTAAAAAAGCATCTTCTTTTGTTAAGTCTGTCAGCAGGAAGCTTGGGTTTGATGACATATCAACTATTTTTAGCCCTCAAGGCTTAAGTGGAGGTCTCTTGCTTATGTGGGATAGCTCTGTTACCATCATTCAGATCAAAAGTGAAAGTTTCTTTATTGCAGTGGAACTTCAACATCCTTCTTTTGACAAGCAATGGGGCATTTTTGTATACCTCAGTACCTATAGAGTGTAGAGAGCTGAGCAGTGGCTTATCCTTGAATCCTTAAAGCAGCAATGGGGTAACCAATGGTTCATGGCTGGAGATTGGAATGCAATTAGATCCAATGTAGGGAAGAGGGGTGGATTAACTAGGAACAATAGCAGCTTTTCTGGATTCAACAATTTCATATGCAATATGGAAATGGAGGAAGTCAATATGGTAGGCTATCAGTTTACTTGGTGCAATAATAGACAGAATGAGGGGATTGTAGAAGAAAAACTGGACCGAGTGTTTGGGTCTATTGATTGACTGCAATCTTTTCCTAATGTCAGAACTCTTAATTTGGTCAAGAGCTCGTCTGACCATTCTTTACTTCTTATTGATCTGGAGAATGACACAATCAGAAAGCCAAAGAGATTTAGCTTTGATAAGAGATGGCTTAGCCGGGATGGGGTCACTGAGATTGTTCAGGGAGTGCAGGGTACTTCTTTTTTCAAACTCAAGGAAAGAATCAAGCTTACTAGAATTGCTCTTCTCCAATGGAGCTCATCTCTTCACTCTCAGAAGACATGAATCAATCCTTGATCAAACCTGTTGATGAATCAGAAATTAAAAATTCCTTATTCAGTCTCCATCCAGATAAGTCCCCAAGGAAGATGGTATGAATGCCCTTTTCTACCAACATTTTTGGGAAGTAGTTAAATCTGACTTTATCACTGTTATTCAGAGTTTTTTTGAATCTGGAGCACTTTTACAATATTGGAATCATACAATTCTCTCTCTGATACCTAAATGTTCTCTGCCTGACTCTTTGAACCAGTTTAGACCAATCAGTCTATGCACAGTTGTTTATAAACTTCTATTCAAAATTATTGCTCAAACACTGAAAATTTGTTTGGATAGCTCTGTCAGTCATTATCAGTCTGCATTTTTGAAAGGGAGACAGCTTATGGACAATGTGATTATTGCCCAGGAAGCCTTTCATTTCCTCAACAGGCACACAACAGGTAAAAACTGGTTTATGTTCCTCAAATTGGATCTTGTGAAAGCCTTTGATAGGGTGGAATGGCCCAGTCTCAAACAAATCATGATTCAAATGGGCTTTCATAGGGACTTTGTGAAGTTGATTCTTATTTGCATTTCATCATCTACAATCTCTTTTAAAGTCAATGGGACAGTGAGTGGTTTTATCAAACATTCAAGGGGCATTAGACAGGGGGATCCTCTATCCCCCTATCTATTTATCATTTTGGCTGAATTATTTTCTGCTCTCATAATGGATGCTGTGAATTCTGGTCAATTGCATGAGTTGAAGCTCTCTAGGAATGGTCCACTTCTCTCTCATCTGCTGTTTGCAGATGACTACTTGCTTTTCTGTAGAGCTGGTGTTGATCAAGTTGAGGTTCTCTTGAATTTGTTGAACAAATACAGGCTATTCACTGGACAGGCTGTTAATTTGCAAAAATCTGCCATTTTCTTTAGCAGGAATACTCCCTCATATATTCAGCAAAGAGTGTGCTCAGCCCTTAATGGCATTCAATGTCACAAATCAACTAAATATTTGGGATTGCCTCTTGGTATTGGCAGATTCAAGAAGGATGTTTTTGCTTATCTGTTGACTTCCATTCAAGGCAAGCTGCAAGGATGGAAATCCAAGCTTCTCTCATTGACTGGTAAAGAGGTTCTTTTAAAAGCTGTAATCCAATCTCTCCCAGTCTTTACAATGTCCTGTTTTAAGCCGCCTCAAGGTATTTGCAAAGAAATTTATAAAATGTGTGCTCAGTTCTGGTGGAAAACAAATGAAGATAGCAAAAATGGCATTTATTGGAAGAGTTGGTCCAAAGTGTCAGTGCCTAAGTTAAATGGAGGGATTGGATTCCATGATATCAAATTATTCAACATTGCCTTGATTTGCAAGCAGTTATGGAGAATTGTCTCTCAGCCTGATCTACTTGTGAGCAGAATTTTGAAGGACAGGTATTTTCGCAACACTTCTTTGGTTCAAGCAGTCAAATCCCACAAAGACTCTTCGCTATGGAGATGTTGGCTTGAATTCCTTTCTGTGTTCTCACAGTGTTTGAAAATTGAAATCAGAAGTGGGTTTCAAACCAGAATCACTGATCTCAACTGGGTTCCAAATCTTGACAAGGATAGGCCTGAATTGATTGATCTGGCCAGAGGCCACCTTATTTTTGTTAATGAACTGATGTTAGCTGATGGGCTTAGCTGGAACCAATGGTTGATTGAACAGGTTTTTTCTGCTGAGGACAGTAAGGCAATCTTAGCCATCAAAACCTTGAGGCCAAATGCTAGTGACAGGCTGATTTGGGGTATTGACAGGAAAGGAGAATTCTCGGTCTCTAGTACATATAAACACCTAATCTTGCAGAAGGTTCTTTCTATGGATCAACCTGAGAGTAGCTCCAATGCTATTCCAATGAAAAGTACCCTTCAGAGGAGCTGGTTTGCATATTCCTTGCAAATTCAAGCTGTTCTTGTGGAAATGCCTCAATGGCACTCTGCCTACTCTGGCCAATTTGAAGAGGAAAGGGCTGGAACTTGAAGGTAGATGCAGAAGTTGTGGAGATGCACTTGAGACTGTGGAACACCTGATGTTCTCATGCACCAGAGCTAAAAGTTTATGGGAGATGGCTCCAATTTCATGGGATGGATTATCACATTTTGAATCCTCTTTCAAACATTGGTGGCAACAGGTTTGTGCAATTGCTTAATCAGAAGTCTCCAACCACAGAATCCAACTGACTACTTATTTGCTATGGTGGTTATGGAAGACCCGTAACTTGTGGATTTTTCAGAACAACCTCATGCCAGTTCCGTTGGTTCTGAAAACAGCTCATTCGGAATGGGTTGAATTTTCTTCTGTTCATTAGACTGGGATTGTATTTAGTAGCTTTTGTGCCTTCGGATTGTACTTCTGTTTTTAGCTTTTAGTATGCTTTATTTGGTTCTTGTGGTGTTTTTTAGTAGTTTGGTAGGTTCAGGAGACTAATGCTAGGCCTTATGGCAGTGGCCATGGTTTCCTGTTCCCTTTGGTCGTATTTGCGTTTGTTGAGGTTATAGGCCATCTTATAGATGTGTCTCTCATTTTTTAGTTCAGGATTTGATTGGGGTCTCCCCTTTGTATTGGAACATTGTTCTCTTCTGAGTTTTATAATGAAATCTATCGTTATAACTAAAATATGCATGATGTATTAACTAAATATGAAAAAGAAATAAATTAAAGGTGCATTAATTATATAATATAAAAACTAATTGGTCATATTATAATTATTCAAACTATAAATAAATTACATATTGTACCCAAGGATCTAATTACAATAACTCTTAAGTTTCTTAAATTGCAAATAGATCCTTACGATTTATCTAATTTACAAAAGTTGGCCCAACCCTAAATACCAAAATCTGAAACTAATAAATTAGTAGGACAAATCCGATAATTACTCCTCCGAGATGTTTTCATCAATGCCTCCAGTGACCTTGCAGCAATAACGGCCCTCCGGGAATCCATGGGCGGCGCCATCTCCTCTGCGTGGGTTGGCACCAAGGTCTGCGAGATGTCGGGCATCGTCTGTGAACTAGAAACCCTCGACATCATCGACATCATCCTCCGCGCCGGCGAGGGCCTCGACCAAAACTCGAAGCTCCGCTTCGCTAGAGGATGGGTCGGGCTGATCTCCGACTCCATCTGCTTGCTCGACCAGCTCACCATACTCATCGTCACAGACTACTGGGCCTCAATCTCCGGCGAGATCTAGCCCAACATCGCCTCCCTCGCCGGCCTCCAAATCCTCGGCCTCTCCGGGAACGGAATCACCCACGGGCATCGAGAAGCTGAGTCGAGTGGTTAATTTTTATTTTTGTTGATTAAATAATTATTTAAATAATTTTAATACAATTATTATTATTATTATTACTAAATTATCTTAAACATAATCATAATTATTTTTATTGTTTAATTATGTTTATTTTAATTGAGTATCATTGATCTTAAAAAAAAATGAATGGCTATGATTGAGTCTCATGTATTAATTTTAAGAGCTACCTTATTTGATCCACATCCTAGTGTAAGACAAATTTATGAATCTGACTTGACATTCAACCAGATGATGTGTTGTAACTAGTGTATTATGCCTTGGGTTTAAAATGGCGAATCTTAGAACACTGCTAGCCTATGTCGTACTAGGCTTGAGATGCTGATAAAATAATTGCGGGATTTTTTAAAAACAGTAGGTTATGGGTGGTTGTTTTCTTGGCATAGATGTGATATGACTCCTCTGATATTCTTTTCCATCACACATCATATATCTTAATTGAAAACTTAAAAATGATCATTTTGCAAAGGAATGGTATCTAGACCACTTTGCATTCTTAATGTTTTTATATATCCAGAATGGTTGCTGACACTGAAAACGGGAATATAGGAAATAGATGGGCTTAATAAGTAAAAAGGTGACTTAAAATGCCAAGGAACATATAATATTTCTAAAAATCTCCTTTGTCAACACACGACTCTCTACACCATCGGTATGCACTTACTTTTTTGCTGAAATATATTCCCTCACCTCAAAGGCTTAATTATGCGTCTTCTCATTTTCTTAAGCTCCGCAGTTTTCTATTCTAAGTCATTCTTATCTATTAGATAGTCCTTTCTAGACTCGCAAATCAAGATTATAAGGGGAAAGGAACCATACCATGCGGCAAATATTACGTGTCACGTGTGTATCTCCAACAAAAAATAGTGGAAACCACACACAAAATAAAAAAAGACATTAAATGTTTTTGTTTAAGAATTCAAAAAGATTTTTTTTTAATTCATTTTTCACGAAATCATTAAAATACAACGTATAAATATTAAAAGTCGCAGTTATAAATAAACAAAACAACATTTATTAAAAGAAATGAAAATAAAAATTTAATATTCGTTGGGGTCCGACTGATGTATAAATTATCTTGAACCGAGTTGAAACACGATCTCACGATAACAACTATTATCTTGAACCGAGTTGAAACACGATCTCACGATAACAACTATCAGCTCGGAGCTCCGATAACTTGCAAGACATCGCAGAGGGTCCTGGGGAAAAATTTCTGACGATCAAGTCAATATATTGATCGTGAGAAAACTGATAGTACGTAAGTTTAGCTTGTATGCGATGTGTCAAGTAAAAGAACCCGATTACTCTTATATACTTAGGGTAACTTGATGCCCAACAGAGTCTTGGTTAGGAAAAAGATTCTCGTGTATTCACTTTCGTTACTTACCAAGTCTCTAAGATGTGTAACTCCTACGCAAGATACACTCTTCATCCATGAAGTACTATTTTCCGTCTTACCACACGATTCTTAAGTGTCCAGTTTGTAACCATGACCTGTGTACCTACCGGTCGTAAGTTGACCATGGTCGCAACCACGGCCTTCACCTCTATGACATATGGGTCATGAGGTATCTTCGAGTGTCCGATCTTATCCGGCTCTACGACATCCCAGCTATCCAGACTGGACTCACTTGTACCCTGAGTTGCCTAAGTGGGTTCTTTAATAGGTATATGTACCGAAAACCAGTTGAACTCTCTCGAACTGACCAGAACCAAGCTAACCACTCTAGATGGTTCACCCGAGCTATTCTA